CATCCAGACAGTGGGACCGGGTCCTGTGCTCATTGCATGAGTTGGCTGTTTGAAACCTGGGGCCTATGCAGGATCACTTGGCTCGGCCTGGGAGGAGGGGACTGAACTTACCTGGACTGAGTCTACCAGGTTGATCTCAGTCTGCGGGGGAAGCTTTGCCCTGGAGGAGGTGGGAATGGGTGGTGGGCTGGGGGGAAGGTGAGGGGGGCCAGAGGGGGGAGAACAAGGGAATCCATATCTGATATGTAGAACTGAATTGTATTGCAAAATAAAAATAAAAATTAAAAAAAATAAAATAAAAGTATGGATAAAAAAATTATGTCAATTAAAAATTTAGTTAAAAAAAAGAAGAGGGGGGAGAATATTGATAATTAAAGGACTAAGTGAGGATGTGGCCATAGGAATGGGGAAGAAGAGGGATCAATAGGGGAATTAACCAAAACTAAGGATTTGTGGAAAAGTCTTATGAAAACCTGCTAGTTAGTAAGCTAATTTTGAAATATAACTGGTGTGGAATATTCCTTTACACTGTGTGAAGATGTGTCACTCTGATTGGTTTAATAAAGAGCTGAATGGCCAATAGCTAGGCAGGAAGAGGTTAGGTGGGACTTCTGGGGACAGAAGGATTCAGGGGAGAACAAAGGCGGAGTCGCCAGCCAGACACAGAAGAAGCAGGACATGTAGGAGGAGAGGTAAAATCATGAGCCACGTGGCAGCATGTAGATTAAAAATTATGGGTTAATTTAAGTTATAAGAGCTAGTGGGACAAGCCTAAGCTAAGGCCAAGCTTTCATTAAATTCATAGGTCTCCATGTCGTTTTTTTCGTGAGCTGTCAGCCCAAAAGAAAAATCTGTCTACATATGGCATCTAATGCAGGGGCTCATATATCTGAACATATGGTCTGAGAAAGCTAAGAAAGTTCTGCACAAGGAGCTGGATGTGACTTTCTAGTCCTGAAGTCTCTCAGGCCAGCCAGTCTTTGCATACAGAGGTATGGCCAAGCCACCAGCCACCAGCACCTTGTGACAGCTGACATAACCATTTAGGATTTGTCTCACGCTATCAGAGAACGCTGCAGGTGCTCAGCAAAGACAGGTTCAGGTGGGAAAAAAACTAAAAACAGGTTAGAATGTGTTTAAAAAATGCACGTGGGCTTAAAAAATAAAAGAAAATGGGTATAGACAATCATAAAAATAGTTTATAAATAATAAAACAAAGTTTTTAAAGACAGAATAAAATGATATAAAAAGGATAAACCATATAAAGATGGAAAATACACAGAAAGTCTGGATCCTATATGGTGTCTTGTTGACTTTGAATTTTTTTTATTGCTGATGAGTAAATGACAGCTGCTGAGAGACATGGGATTGTAAAAGGGACTGCTGAGTTAAACTAGCCTAGATACTTTAGGAATATCTTAACTTTAAAATGGAAGTCAGAAAATGTATTGCTTTGGGGAAGAAGTTACGCTTTTGTTTCCACAGAAAGTGAAAAGCTGTAAATTCCTTCAAGGTTGACAGAGATCAAGTTTGATTGGGGAGACCCCCTGAAAATCCTGGCTACAGGCATAAAGAAATAAACCTAGAAAAACTACAAGACAGGTGACATGTATTTCACCTTCTGAAACATAAAGCAAAAAAATTATCTTTGGCTGGCTTGTGTACAATGCACAGCCCATACTTATGTTAATGAAGATATGTATGTTACCTTTGAAGGTTTGTGTGTTTTCAGAGCAAGGGGACCAGACACCAATGAAAATGGGTGGCCCAGGTGATCTAGGCTCTTAAAATGCCTCTGTTGCAGTTTCCTCAGAGTTCTACATCCAGAACAGCTTCAAGGCTGCTGGTTAAGATGACCCAGCCTCACAGATTATTCTAGCCAGGACTACAAATAAGCCTTCTACTTTCCCATTGCACCGAGACTGGACAACAAATGTTTTGGCTAGTTTTCCCAGGATTTGACCATAATTCCCATTTTCCCAGGACCTCTTAAAGATGCTGTTGCCCCCAAACAACAGGAAGTGGTTTAGAGAACACTATGCTCACATTCCCAAAGGTGGGGTGGGTTGGTTTTGGTCATTTGGTGGGTTATGGATGTTTGTCATCATTTAGGGGGGTTGGTTACAATTTGTTATTGGTAATGGTCAGGAAAAAAGGTGAACAAAGGAGATTAGATTCAGGGATGTCTTTCTGAAAGGAAAAAGGGGGATATAGTATAGAAACGATGGGATAAAAGGGTGGATTATTGAGTCTACTTTTGAACAACCACTAACATAAAATATTTTACATTGGTATGGAGTTTTATATATTGATACAAATTTAAGGTTATTTTTGTTATTCTATATATATTTCTATTCTTTTTTTTTACAGTTCATGGACTGTGATTCAGTTTATAAAGTTGTTCATGCGTTAGTCAAACCAGAAATATATATAGAATATATATTTCTATTCTTGTTTAAGGTATGTACCTATGCAGCTCATTTTAAAATGTAATATAAAGTTTTAGTCCTTGAAAGCTATTTAGGTTAATAGGATTATAAAGAAACACAGATTAGTAGTTAGTCATCTGTAATAACCAAACTTGTAGTCAGGTTAGGTATGTTTTCAAGATTAAACAGAGATATATTTTAGATAGATAAGTGATCTTCAAACACTTCAGAGATCTACAGAATATGGTATTTAAGATGTTTTAATAACCTAAGGCTTTTCATGATAGTGAGACATATCTGCTCCTGACTGCACCAATTTACTTCAAAAAAGAATGATGGGCATCAAAGAACTTCCATACGGAGTTTGCTTTTATTGTGGCCAAGTTAGCCACTGAGCAAGAAACTGCCCTTGCCTTGACTGCCGATTGTATGCTGTCCAAACTGGACAAGCAGGACACGAAAGAAAGCAACTGTCGAATTTTACCAAGACAAAGTAGAACAGTCCTTCAAAATTCCTGCTTCATAGAAAACTCTGTCAGATATCCTAGGCCTGTAACCCAAAGATGAATGCCACAACACTGCAGAGGAAACTTGGGTGACTGTCCAAGCAGCCAGCTGCTTCTGTCATTTCTATAGTTTTTGGAAGTTGTTTGCTCTGCACTTACTGCTTACTCAGGTAATATTATATCCTTCTTGGGTGTCTGATGGAGTTGAAGACGAGATAGTTATAGTTTTATAGTTTTCCTTGTTACCAAATTCAAAAAAGAAACTCACAAAAGGGGTATAAATTGTATATAAGATTGAGAGACATGAAAGCTTAAATTGTTTATCTAAGAAAATGTTTTGAGGTCTAAAGAGATAGTTTTAAGATGGTAATACAAGTTATGATAGAAAATGGTTTAAGTACAAAACTTTAAATTCATCAAGATAAGATAGATTATTGAATATTTTCTCCAAATATGCCAATACAAATGGACTGGACATTGTGAATGTAATTCTTACCTGATAATTGTTCTTATTATTTTATTTTATTATGTTAGAGTTAAAAACCTTTCCTTTTTATTTAGACAAAAAAGGGAAATGTTAGGGAATATTCCTTTACAGTGTGTGAAGATGTGTCATTGTGATTGGTTTAATAAAGAGCTGAATGACCAATAGCTAGGCAGGAAGAGGTTAGGCAGGACTTCTGGAGACAGAGAGGTCTCAGGGAAGAAGAAAGGCAGAGTTGCCAGCCGGATGCAGAGGAAGCAGGACATGTAGGAGGAGAGGTAATAGCCATGAACCACATGGCAGTACATAGATGAAAATAAATGGGTTAATTTAAGTTATAAGGTAGTGATACAAGCCTAAGCTAAGGCCACGCTTTCATAATTAATAATAAGTCTCCATGTTGTTTTTTTTTGTGAGCTCTTAGCCCCAAAGAAAAATTTGTCTACATAGAACTTTAGAAGAATTTGGTTTGAATGAAAGTGTCCTGCATGGATGGACAATGTTACTCCAAGGATACAAGTGTTATTAAATAAAAAAATCACATTACAAGGTATGAAAAAAAGTCTGGGATTGGAGAGAATGCTCAGTGGTTACTAAAGCTTGCTGCTCCTCCAGAGGACCAGAATTCAGTCCCCACCACCCATATTGGGAGGCTCACAACCACCTGTACCTCCAGGCCCAGGGGATCCAATAACTTTGTGGTACCTGCTTGCATGTGCACATAAACACAGAGACATAAACATAAATAAAAATGAACATAAAATAAAAAGAAAGACAAACTAAAGATTGGAGAGATTTAATTCTTAATGTGCATATGTGATAATGCATATTAATAAGAATAAATAATTTCTCTTAATTCATCTAAAGGAAAAATTATTCAGAAAAGTATTTAAAGTTATAACTGGCATCTACACAATTTTATACTTAAACTTGCTTTTCTAATTATTATTTCAATTCAGCCTGGACCAGCCAAACACACAGTAAACATCCGATACTTGGAAACAGAACTGAGAGCATTTATGGTGAAATTTCTGCTGAGGGAATCTATAGTAAAATTTTTAAATTTTAACTATTATAAAATATTTCTGTTGATGCAGAATTTCACTAAGTATATGGAATTAGAAACGGCTGTAGTAAAGAGATAAATGTCTTGTATACTTCGTTGCCTTTTGATCCTGTGATCTTTCAATCTGCATAATCATGTGAAATGGTGGTAAAAAATGGGGCTGGGGTGGCTTTGGCCACACAGAATAAATATATGGTCAAGCATAAACAGGATCAAAACCAATAAGCAAACCAGATCACAGGATTTCTCATTTTATTTTTATTCTAAATAGGTTGCCTGCTAGAAATCTCTTTAGCTCTCTTAGTTAAAAATTTCTCCTTAATTAATTAGCGCAGAATGAATAGTCACGAGGTTGCCTCAAAGGTATTTGTAGAGGGTGAGGAAATCCATCTTTACATATTGCCTAAATTACATCTAGAAGATCCTCTCAGGATCAAATATTTTTTTAAATACAAAATGAGTTCTTGTTACTTTGAGATTCTGTTGTGTCAGGAGGGAGAAAGGCCACTTCGTACCTTGGGATTTCTCCTCCTCCTTTGTGTCTTCCATCGCCTGGCTGCTGGTCTCTGATGCAGGGACACTTTGTGTTTTCGGTGATGTCTTCGAAAGGAGAAAAGAAACACAAGTTTCAAAATGAATTGCTTTTTCTTAAAGCTGTTTTAGCTTTTGATTAAAGGAGGGTTAATTACTTTGTAGCGTTACTAAACATTCCTACTTAACTTTTTCTAGGATTTAACATTGTATGTTAAAGGTAAACTGCATGTCTGTTTCCTGCATTCACATTATCAAATGTATTGACTAAACATATCTCCTTATTGTCAATCAAATGATATGCTTGAGATACCATTCCAGTTGTACACTGATCCTAGAATTATACAATAATTTCTATGAACACAATTTGAGGCCATCTCATAGTTATATTTGACCTTTAAAAATGACACCTTCCAAAAAGTGCTAGAATCATCTTCCATGTTTGTGGCTGGAAGAAGAACACTTTATCTGAGTTAAACCAAATTAAAGAATGACTTTATAAATAATGATGGCATTGTAGTTTTTAACACTTTTGCTGGTGTATATAGTAATAGAATTTTTTAAAAATTCATATTAGTCAACTTAATGTGAATTCATGTAACTAATTTCAGTTGCCTCCTTTTAAATAAGTGTTCTTTGTCATGTAACCTTGTATTTTTAAAAGCAAAGCTAGCAAAGTAAGTAATGTGGAGATTACATTTTTAGCACAATAGTGAAGTCACCCTAAAAGCTGATAGCTCCTGTACCGAGAGTAGCTGTTCGAACATGAGAGAGCAGCAGCTGCTGATTGTAATTTATAACAAACAGCCCTTCACAGATAATTGACCTGCCTACAGGAGTTTCCTGTAACTGAAAACACATCAGCTTAATAATCAACATGCGTGTGCCCCTTTGCACTTGCTGCTTCACTTTGGACATGCGAACTTTTCCTTCTCCACGAGGAAGCTAATGCAGCCAGCTCACTCTGTCACATTGCTATCTGATTTTGGGGGGCAGCTCTACCTCCTCAGGCTCCTTTTCGTCCTTTGAGTTCTGCTGCTGGTCCTTGCCGCCTTTTCCATTGTCCTGAAATGGGAGCAGCATCAGTAAACGCTAGCAAGAAGGGTCTGGGACCCAGCTAATACTGTGCATTTTGACAAACCAAATACTTTCTTTTTTTTTTTTTTAAATAGTCACATAATGAGTGAATTTAATCCCCAATAAAATGATAGAAAGTAGTTGTATTTAAAATTTCAAACAGTTATAAAGACATGTAAGCCAGGGACAGTGGCATAAGCCTATAATCCCAGCACTTGGGAGACTGAGACAGTAGCATCACTCTGAGTTCTAAGCCAGCCTGGGCTACACTACAAGACTTTGTCTCAAATAAAACAAAACAACAACAAAACCCAGAAGACATTATAATTAAGGAGTGCCAATCAACTAGAAACAGGTTACTGTGATCCAACTGTTGTTTTTGACCCCCCCTTTCCCCAAACCCCATATTTCTATCAAAGCTTGCCGTAGATTATTTAAATAAAAAGAAATAGTAAGTGATGCAGTAAGATACTGCATCTCTGTTTTCTGAAGAATGTTGACTTTCAAATCCTCTCATAACATGTTTAAAAACAAACATAAGCCAAGAACCTGATTAGGTTTGGACTGATCTTGAGACGTTGACTCACTCATTTGACCACCAAAAAAATTCCACCAAAGGATACTGAGAAGTAATACCAATACAATATTAATAACCAAAAGAGAGAAAGAAAATGTTAACAAGCAACACAAATACTCCGGAAGACCTAAATCTCCATCATCTCCAGCCCCCACCGCACCCCAGCATTCTACTGAGTGGTCATAAATTCTCAACTGCTGAACCTCCCAAGCTGCAGAGCTGTTATTACTGTTACTGACTGAAGCCAGGGCACTGCTTCACTAGTGCTCAAAGAGACAGCCACCGTGGCAGTCACCGCCACTATCATTTCTAAGCCTGAAATAATAATAATGCAATTGACTTTTTAAACATTGTTACTTTCATTAACTTTTCTTTATTGTTTTGAAACAAGGTCTTACTATGTAGCACAGGCAGCTTCTAACTCCTGATCCTCCTGCCTCAGCCTCGAAAGTGCTGGGATTAGAGGCATGCTGCATCATGCCCAACTTCTCCATCAATGTTTGAGATAGTAATTAAGCTAAAGCAAAGAATACCTTTGATGTCTAACTAATTAACATGTGAAAGCTGGATAAAAATATAATAAACTCCCTAAAAAGCTTTTTAAGCTGTTGGCAAGGGGAGAGTTCTCTGAGGAATATGATTTATCTGGATCATTTACTCATAGTGAGGAGTTAAAGTGATTTCCACTTCACTAAAAATGACTGCAATCCCAGCAACAAATTATAAAATCATTGCTGTGCCAAATATCATGCTGTAGCTTGATTACATATGGGTGAGGCGCTGTGTAAAGGGTGAATTATTGCTGGGTGTGGTGGTGGACAGGGTGACCTCTGCACTCTCTATACTCAAGAGGCTGAAACAGGAAGATCACCAATGCAAGACCAGCAGGGGCGACATTGTGAGATCTTGTCTCAAAAAGAAGAAATTATGTGCATGTGGTCTCTGTCTCCAGGGAAGTTACAATCTAGGTACTCTATGATTTAGTATAGTATGTATATGAAACCCTGAAGTATTCATTTTCTTTTTATCAACATAACACAAATTCCAATGGAGTAAACTAAAAGTACTGCCACTGGAGAGAATAGATAACAACATTTAAAAAGCTGCCTCAAAGCCTTTTAAAATGATTTATAAATAATAGAAAGCAGAATTCTGTGTTAAGTCCCAGCTGTATATTGATTGCTTGTAGATGTCCATTTCCTGAAACTGATAAGAAGTTTCTTTTATTTCTTGTTAAGATCTATTTTGTTTGGATGTACTCAGAAAAATTCAACTCATTGAGAACATTCTGTTATACAAGCATTTCTTGGGATTTGAAATGATGAGTGAATTTCCAGCTTAGTGAGGGGGAAACAGTGCCATTCAATCTGCAAAGTGTAAGTGTGGGGGTGCACACAACACATTAGGGAAGAAAGAGGAACAAGTAGTTATTTTTCTTGGGGCAAAGAAACAGATTACTTGGTTGATATTAAAGAACTAGTAAAAAAAAAAAAGTATACAAAGGAGAGGGAAGGGTATTTGTAGCAGAAGAAACATAAACTCCGGGGTAAAGGAGATGAGGCTTAAAAAGTACTTGTCGTCATGGGCTGAAGAGATGGCTCAGCAATTAAGAGCACTTGTTGCTTTTGCAGAAGACTAGGGTTCGGTTCCTAGCATCCATCTGGTGGCTCACAACCATCTGTAACTTCAGTTCTAGGGGATCTGACTCTTCTAACCTTTTGGGCCCCAAGGCATGAACATGCTGCACATATATACTTGTAGGCAAAACGTTTATACACATAAACAAATCATTATAGATGGTACTTAAAGCCAAAATGTTGAGGATTAGGATACATAGAGGAATTTGGACTTTATTACATGCTTTTAAAATAGACATATATTCACAAATTATTGTCTTAAAAGTTAATTCTGCCAGGAACATTGAGTACAGAGTATAGTGTGAAAAACTTGAAGAAAAATGAAGGTGTATTTTGCATCTTAAATATTGCACCATCCCTTGCTGTAGTCTTGGCTCTCTCAGACATTGTTATTACCTGTCCTGGTTAGGATTACCACTGCTATGATGAAACACCATGACCAAAGTAACTTGGGGAGGAAAAGGCTTATTTGGCTTATGCTTCATCATCCAAGGAAGTCAGGACAGGAACTCAAACAGGGCTGGTACCTATAAGCAGGAGCTAATACAGAGGCCACGGAGGGGTACTGCTTACTGACTTGCTCCTCCTGGTTCACTCAACCTGCTTTCTTATATAACCCAGAACCACCAGGCCAGGGGTGGCACCACCCACAATGGGCTGGGCCCTCCCCCATCAATTACTAATTGAGAAAATGCCCAACAGTCTTGCCTACAGCCAGATGTTATGGAGGTGTTTTCTCAGTCAAGGCTCTCTCCTCTCAGACAGCTTGTGTCAAGTTGACATAAAACTAGCCAGCACAGTACCACAACCAGGTGACTGTACCACTGAGCTCCAGTCGGCTCAGCTAGTGCTACAACCTAATTCCTCAGCTCACTTTCTCAGACAGTACCTGAATTGTCTATCTTCCTCTATTTGTATTAGTGGCCTCTGACTGCAAGCACCTGAATTTTGTCTCAGGGTTTTCTGAAGTCCAAATACACATGTATTAGTATACCCTGGCCAGATGTGCTTGCAGGATATATGCAGGGGAGAAGCCATCAGACAAAGATGGGTAATCCCATGGATGGGAGATTTCTAACATGTTCTATTCTGTTTCCCACACTTCTTTGGTGGTATTAAGCACCAGCTCCCCACTGCAGAACCTGCCCAATAAAGTATTTGTTTGACTTTCTCTACTTTCCTATACTACTTCCTGTAGATGTAACCAACCGTCTTATTAAATAAGAAACACAGAGCCGATTCAGAGAAGAAAGCCAAGAGGTCAGAGCTAAGAGCCTCACCCTTTCTGATTCATCGATCCTCTTCAGCCAAGAGAGCTCTCCCAAAAGGGGCCTACTTCCTGTGTGTATGTCTTTATATGGTCTAGCTGTTCTGCCTTCTCATTGGTTGCAAACCCAAACACGTGACTGCCTCATCACTGCCTGAATGTACCGCCCTCCAGGTCCTTAAAGGTGTGCGCCACCGCCGCCATGCACTTGCTATGGCTCTAATAGCTCTGACCCCCAGGCAACTTTATGTATTAACATACAATTAAAATCACATTTCAGTACAAGTAAAATACCACCACAACTTCCTAACCTCTTACCATTGTTTCCTGGAAGTACCTTCCAAATGAATGTGAACTCAAATACTTAGGTCTAGGTCTTTTCCTGGGAACATCCCAACTAAAACAGGTGTAATCATTAGGATTTGTGGCACAACTGAATCCAAGGATTTAATAGAAGAAGCAATTAGAAGGTAATTAACCTTTCTTTTCTTATTCAGAAAGCTGAATGGCTGATAATGCCTAATGCCATCAGGAGAAATAAGGAAAAGAGAATGGATTTGAGAAATGAAACTTTGTGTCTGGAAATATACAAGTTACTTGCTTGGTTGACTAATGTAAGTTTCTAGTAGGCATTTGAAGGCCACTGTGTTAAGAGAAAATTGTGAACAATCAGGTCCACAGGAAATGATGGACTACAGCATCATCTTGCATTTTAAATATCTAATGCTGCGGAAGATTACGTTAACTGTGTAAAGATGTGCTTCTTTTGTTTACACTGCATTTGTTTAATTATGTAAAGATGTGTTGCTGTTTCCTCGTGCCTGCCTGAGGCACATGATTAGTCTAATAAAAAGCTGAAGAGCCAATAGCTAGTCAGGAGAGAGATAGGTGGGGCTGGTGGGCAGAGAGAATAAGTAGGAGGAGAAATCTAGGCTAGATAGAGGAGACGAAGGAGGGAGAAAGAGAGGACTGGCCTAGGGTCAGAAGCCAGGCAGTGGCCAGCTAGACACAAGAAGCTGTGAAAGTAAGATACACAGAAGGAAAGAAAGATAATAAGCCCTGAGGCAAAACGTAGATGAAGAGAAACAGGTTAAGTTATAAGAGCTAGCAAGAACAAGAAACGAGCCTAAGCTAAGGCAGAGCATGATTTAGGAGCTGATTGGTGGCCCAAAAGAGAAAGCCTGCTACAACCTAATGTGCTCCCTTGCCCATGAAATCCTAGAATCTGCTTAGGTTCTTGGCTAGGAGACCAAATCTGTGGATATAGTTGAAGACCCTCCATACTCACTCTCTTTTTTTTTCTTTCTTTTTTTTTTTTTTTTTTTTTTTTTTGGTTTTTCGAGACAGGGTTTCTCTGTGTAGCTTTGCGCCTTTCCTGGGACTCACTTGGTGGTCCAGGCTGGCCTCGAACTCACAGAGATCCGCCTGGCTCTGCCTCCCAAGTGCTGGGATTAAAGGCGTGCGCCACCACCGCCCGGCTTCCATACTCACTCTCAATCAGTTTGTA